ATGATTGTTTTGATGTGTTCTTGGATCCGATTTGCCGGTATTTTATTGAGTATTTTTGCATCAATGTTCATGAGGGATATTGGTCTGAAGTTCTCTTTCTTGGTTGTATCTTTGTGTGGCTTGGGGATCAAGGTTATTGAAGCCTCATAGAAAGAGTTTGGCAAAGACCCTTCTGCTTCTATTGTGTGGAACACTTTGAGAAGAATTGGTATAAGCTGTTCTTTGAATTTGTGGTAGAATTCTGCACTGAGGCCATCTGGACCTGGACTTTTTTTGGTTGGGAGACTTTTGATGACAGCTTCTATTTCCATAGGGGTTATAGGTCTATTTAAATTGCCTATCTGTTCTTGATTTAGTTTTGGCAAATGATAGCTGTCCAGGAAGTCATCCATTTCCTTTAAATTTTCGAATTTTGTGGAGTACAGGTTTTCAAAGTATGACCTAATGATTCTCTGGATTTCCTCAGAGTCTGTTGTTATGTCCCCCTTTTCATTTCTGATTTTGTTAATTTGCGTGTTCACTCTCTGCTGTTTGGTAAGTTTGGACAAAGGTTTGTCTATCTTGTTGATTTTCTCAAAGAACCAACTCTTCGTTGCATTGATTCTTTGTATTGTTTTCCTGGTTTCTACTTTGTTGATTTCAGCCCTCAATTTGATTATTTCCTGGCGTCTACTCCTCCTGGGGGAGTTTGCTTCTTTGTGTTCTAGAGCTTTTAGCTGTGATGTTAATTCTCTAGTATAACTGTTTTCCTGTTTCTTCATGTGAGCACTTAGTGCTATGAACTTCCCCCGTAGCACTGCTTTCAAGGTGTCCCATAGGTTTGGGTATGTTGTGTCTTCATTCTCATTGAATTCGAGGAAGTCTTTAATTTCTTTTTTTATTTCCTCTTTGACCCAGGGATGGTGCAGTTGAGCATTATTCAATTTCCATGAGTTTGTAGGTTTTCTGCAATTTGTGTTGTTGTTGAATTCTAATTTTAAGGCATGGTGGTCTGATAAGATGCATGGAGTTATTCCAATTTTTTTGTAGCTGCTGAGGTTTGATATGTTGCCAAGTATGTGGTCGATTTTTGAGAAGGTTCCATGTGGTGGTGAGAAGAAGGTATATTCTTTTTTATGTGGATGAAATGTTCTATAGATATCTGTTAATCCCAGTTGGGTCATTACTTCTATTAGACCCTTTGCTTCTTTGTTGAGTTTCTGTCTGGTATTCTTGTCTAGTAGTGAGAGTGGTGTGTTGAAATCTCCCACTATAACTGTGTGGGGCTTTAGATGAGATTTAAGTTCTAATAATGTTTCTTTAACGAATGTGGATGCCTTTGTATTGGGGGCATAGATGTTCAGGATAGACACTTCATCTTGGTGGGTTTCACCTGTGATGAGTATGTAATGACCTCCTTTATCTCTTTTGATTGATTTTATTTTAAAGTCTAGTTTGTTAGATATTAGGATTGCTACCCCTTCTTGTTTCTTGGGTCCATTTGATTGAAAAATTTTTTCCCAATCTTTAACTCTCAGGTAATGTCTGTCTTTGAGGGTGAGGTGTGTTTCTTGCATGCAGCAGAAGGAAGGGTTCTGTCTTCGAATCCATTCTGCTAGTCTGTGTCTTTTTATGGGTGAGTTAAGGCCATTAATATTGAGGGATATTAATGACCATTGATTGCTCATCCTTCTTCGATTTGCGATGGTTGTTGGTGGTGGAATTATGGGTGGAATTTCACCCCTTTGCTCTTTTGGCTGTTGGTAGAGAGGGATTCTCTAATGCTTATGTTTTTCTGGTTGTAGTTAGCTTCCTTGGGTTGGAGTTTTCCTTCCAAAATTTTCTGTAGGGCTGGGTTAGTGGACACATATTGCTTGAATCTAGTTTTGTCATGGAATATCTTGTTTTCTCCGTCTATAGTGATTGAGAGCTTTGCCGGGTATAGTAGTCTGGGCTGGCACCCATGGTCTCTTAGTGTAGGTAGAATATCTATCCAGGACCTTCTGGCTTTCAGAGTTTCCATGGAGAAATCAGGTGTAATTCTGATAGGTCTGCCTTTATATGTTACTTGACCTTTTTCCTTAGCTGCTCTTAATATTCTTTCTTTATTCTGTATGTTTGGGGTCTTGATTATTATGTGGCGAGGGATTTTTTTTGTGGTCCACTCTATTTGGTGTTCTGTAGGCTTCTTGTACCTTCATTGGCATGTGTTTCTTAAGGTTGGGAAAGTTTTCTTCTATGATTTTGTTGAATATGCCTTCTGCCCCTTTAAGGTGGATTTCTTCTCCTTCTTCTATACCTATTATTCTTAGGTTTGGTCTTTTCATGGTGTCCCATAATTCCTGGATGTTTTGTGTTAAGGATTTGTTGGATTTAAGGTTTTCTTTGGTTGATAAATCCATTTCTCCTAGTGTATCTTCAACACTTGAGATTCTCTCTTCCATCTCTTCTATTCTGTTGGTAATGCTTGTATTGGTAGTGCCTGACTGTTTGTCCAGCTTTTCTATTTTCTGCCTTTCTTCAGATTGTGTTTTTTTTAATGTCTCTATTTCAGTTTTCAACCCTTGCAGCGTTTGCATTGCTTCTTGCAATTTTCTGTTTATCTGTTCATCCGTTTGTTGCCTTTTATGAACCTTTTGGTTTGTTCTTTCTTCCATTTCTTGCATTTTTTGTTTTGCTTTATGTTCCATTTCTTGGATTTTGTGCTTTGTTTCTTCTTCCATTTCCTGCCTTTTTTGGTTTGTTTCTTCTTCTAATTCTTGCATTTTTTGCTTTGTTTTTTCTTCCATTTCTTGCATTTTTTGCTTTGTTTCTTCTTCCATTTCCTGCCTTTTTTGGTATGTTTCTTCTTCTAATTCTTGCATTTTTTGCTTTGTTTTTTCTTCCATTTCTTGCATTTTTTGCTTCATTTCTTCTTCCATTTCGTGCCTTTTTTGGTTTGTTTTTCTTCCAATTCTTGCATTTTTTTGTTTGTTTTTTCTTCCATTTCTTGCATTTTTTGGTTTGTTTTTTCTTCCATTTTTTTGAGGGATTTTCCAATATCCTCTTTTAGGGCCTCTATCATTTTCATGAGAGTGCTTTTAAGGTCGTTCTCTTCTGCTTCCTTCGCATTGGAATGTTGGGGTCTTGCTGGTGTGGAGTCTCTAGAATCTGGCGGTGTCATATTTGTTTTTCTGTTGCTGACTGTGTTTTTGTATTGTCTCTTTCCCATCTCTTCTTCTAGTGGGTGCAGAAAGAGCCCCGTACTGGTCTGGGGACCAGAGTTCCCTTTTGATGGGTGCTAGCAAGTCCAATAATCTGTTGGTTCTTCTATACCTTGTCCAAATGGTGGTCCATGGGTGGAGAAGAAGAAAAGGAATCTGGGACGCTTAGCCTCCTACCTGGTCCCCTGGACCCTATGCTGGGTCCTGTTGTACCTGATCTGGAACAGCTACTCCCCTGGTCTCCCTGGCTCCTCTATTTTCCTGGTCTCATTGGTGGGAGAGAAGATCTGGAGTCTGGGTTGCTTGGCTCCCGCCGGGATTGGGAGCTCTGTGTAGTTCCCAGGCGATCTGCAGGCACTGGAACACAGGCCAGGAAGCCGGCCTGTTTACCTGATGCTGCCGGAGGGACAGCTACTTCCCTGTACTCCCAGCCTCCTCCAGTTTCCTGGTCTCGTTGGTGGAAGAGAAGATCTGGAGTCTGGGGTGCTTGGCTCCAGTCGGGATTGGGAGCCCTGTGCAGTTCCCAGGCGATCTGCAGGCTCTGGAACACAGGCCGGGAAGCCGGCCTGTTTACCTGGAATCTCTTTTTATACAGGGGAAAAGAAGAAGTTTGGAGCATTCTCACGAGCCTATGTTTAAATGCCTGACAAATGTGGCGAATGACTGTTAATTAAGATCGGAGGTTCGAGACCTCCAGGTCCCTCTGTAGTCCACCATGCTTGGGTCAGAGATCTAGGCACCTGTACAGGACGTTCCTGTACAGGAGGAGCTGGTGTGGTGACCAAGGATACTGTCTGTAGCTCTCTGTGCCCTGGGCTATCTTGTTATGTAAATGATATCAGTCACATTTTCCAACAACTTGGCACAAATTGAGAAGTATAGATAAAGGTAGCTTAAGACACCACACCTAGAAATATTAAGGTATTGGTAAAGCCCTGAACACATAGATTTTGTGTCTTTAAAAGCCTGATCTATGTGTATCAAATCTAGCTTCACCAGATGTGGCCAGATAGTTCTAGAGATAAGCACATCTGGATGGGACTTCCTGCTTTGCTTCCTATTTTGTAACCTGGCTTCTAACTGTTCTTTTAAATTTTTTATTAATACTATGTATTCATGTATCAAATCTCGATTGCAGTCACCCCTCCCTCTTCTCTTCCCCTCTCATTTACTCTTTACCTCCCCAGTGCCCCTCCGCAGTCTACTCCCTATCTGTTTCTGTTCAGAAAGGGTAGGACTCCCGTGGGTGTTCACTAAGCATGGCAAATCAAGTTTAAGTAGGGCTAAGCTCCACCCTTCTTACTGTGCCTTGGTAAGGCAACCCAGTATGAGGCCTAGATTGCCAAAATCCTGCCAAAGCATCAGGGACAGGGCCTGCTCCCACGGCCAGGAGTCCCACAAGTAGATCAAGCTATACTTCAGCTCTATGTATATAATAGCCCTAGATCATTCCCCTGTGTGTTCCTCACCTGTCAGCTCCATGTCTGTGAGACCCTGTGAGCCCAAGTTAGTTGTCTCTGTTGGTTCCCTAGTGATAACCTTAACCCTCTAGGCTAATACAATCCTTCCTCATTCTTTTCAACAGGATTTCCACACCTTGGCCAAGAGCTTTTTGCATCTGGTACCATCAGTTTCTGGACAAAGGCTCAATGATGATAATTAGGTTAGTCACCAATCTGATTACAGGAGATGGCTAGTTCAGACAACCTAGCCACTATTCCCACAATCTGGAACCAGGGATTTTTTAATAGCAATCTGATACTGATTCTCAGAGTCTTGCTTGGAGACAAGAGAGAAGTGCAAGCACACACAGAGAACTTGCTGCAAGGACTTTATTTAGATACAAAAGAGAAAGAAAGTCAAGGGCCCAGCACAGGACAAATAGTATTCTTCAGACTCTCAACTCACAATGCAAACCTATCCTTCTTGTTCTTAGTGATCATTGGCGGCAGCAGAGTCGGTAGAAGGTGTTTCCGAGCCTGCAGTACCCAATTTGGGTTTCTCCCGAATCACAGACTGGTCTCTTGCAAAAGCAGGTCACACGTGCCTTCACATCTGCAGACATGGAGATCACAGGAAGCAATGAGTCAGTAGGGTGGGAGATATCCTGGGCAAGGTGTGTTCTAGGTGAAGTGGGTCCCCCATATTAATTATTACTGACAGCAGCCTGAGCAATCACAACCAATATGAATAAATATACACGGTGAACTCTGAACCTGCATAAAACTAAAGGCTAGTACCTATTTGACTAAATTTTGTTTGTTTTCACCATTATGCTCCTACCATCACACATTTTCATGAATGCTGCCATTACATAAATATCTAGACATGTACCTCCTGATACTAAAGTATAATAGACTCAAGAAAATATCATTCCAATAACCAAGTCAAGCCATTTTGATCTAGATAAATATCTAGTTGGAATTATCTTTATGAATTAACTCAGTGATGGTCACAAATGTATATTTGAATAAAAATCTTTGCAGAAAGAAATGGATTTATTTGACTTTGGATGCGAAAAATAAAGAAGTAATAAATTATCTTGTGTGACCTGATTTCAGAGCTTATCCCCATCCCTTCTCTCTACTCCATACCTCTAACATGTCAACATCTCTCACCTGCATATTGAAGAGCAGTGCTTTCATCCCCTCCAAATGTTATGGACATATCCTGGTTGTTGTCTTCCAGGTGCTCCTGGTCTAGAAGTTTCTTAATGGTTCCTCGGAAAGGATCTGCCTGGGTCTCAAAGGCCAGCAGGAGAAGGGCAATGAGCAGAGCAAGTGTTCTCATGGCTGCAGGTTTCCTAGATGATGAAAAAATTAGGAACCAAGATTGTGGGGTATGTGAAGAGAAGGGTCAAAGATATGCCCTGCAGTTGAACAGGGTCTGCATTGATCAGAAGAGGGAACTGTCCTTAAGGTCCTCTTGACACTCTAGTATTCACAGCTTCCATCACAAAATGCCTCTATCTGTGTGTTTGGTGACAGATTTGGTTTAAGCCTGTTAGGATCAGGAGGACTCTGCTATTGTTTCCTGTTGCCACTTGGATTTTGTACTTACCACATGAATGAGTGTTTGCTTTTAATGTTAAAATAGAAGAAAAGAAGCATCACTCTCATGCTTCAAGTTCAAGTATACAATTCCTGTAAATCTCTGAAGATGGATTCTGATTCCTTCTGAAGTTGTTGACTCTGGGTTCAGACCTGGATCCTGATGATGCTTATTAGTTAAGGCTTTTTAGGGTTGAATCTGCTACAGGACATGTGATGACCAGATAGATCTAATCAGTTAGGGTTGAGTCTGTTATAGCAAATGCATGATCACATTGTTCTAATCAAATTAGAGATGAAATGGAATCCTGGGATTCTATATAAAGCATTGGTCCAGGAAGGAAGAATGTTTATTTCTTAATTTCTATGCTAGTATAAGTGGTAATTAAGACTGTCAGTATTAAAGCACACAACCAGATGTTTTGATGCACAATTGGATATTTATCTCAAATTAATTAAAGACCTGCACATAACACTTGAAAGCAGAAAACTACTGGAAGAAAATTCAGAGCTGAACCTGGGCTGTGATTGCATGATGCCATATGTGCCAGGAATAAAGCAAATTGGGCAAACGTGATTGATCTGGGCTGTACAGCTTCACAAGAGAAGGAGTGGAATGGCTAACTAGAACATGTTCGGAATGGTTGTAAAGCATACACCTGGTAAGAAACTATTATTAGTATTTAGGCGATGAGTGCAATTCAGAAGCCAAGACCAAGCCAAACAATAAAAGGCAAGTGAACCAAAGAAGTATTTCTTAAAAAGAGAATGATATTTTTTTCAGGTTATATTATTCTCATACCTGAATGACAAGGGAGACATCTCTGTTTTGAAATAAGGTTTGAAATTCCCCTTAACCAGTAACTACTGTCCTTAGAAGTCACCAGAGGCCCATACGGAAGATCTCTAGAAGTGTGTCTGCATATGTGGGCACCCAGAGCAGCTTTGACTTTATGGAGTCGGTTTCAGCTGGTTTCCAATGACATATCTACATTTGAAAATTCAGGGACTGTCATTACTTACAGATCCTTGAGCTGTGTAGAGAGTAGAGCAGGAGACACAGGACTCCTCTGTGCAGATCTTCAGATGCAACAGCAGCTGTGCCCTCACAGAAAGGACTTGCCCTATTTAATGGTCACTTGTGATGTCCTAATAATTTTGTGGTTAATTTCTGTTGGGTACTTCCAACACCTGTGGTGCAAGGACAGTTGGGCAATTTGGAAAAGCTGGGGCAAGGCAGGACTTCCCAGAGTGACCCCTTATCTATCTTTTCCAGGACTAGAAAACACTTGTTTGCCTATCACCGCTTACACAGTGGAGCTGGCACAGCATAGGCCTGTGACTGAGCCTTAATCATTGGTATCAGTGAGGATGGAAGAGCACAAAGGAAACGTATGACTCACAAATCATGCTTTATACTTGGTGAAGATGACTATAACAAATATTCAATGAATGTGTAGAGAAGGATTTCAAAACTAGTTCTCAGTGAGCCTCTTCAGGACCTAGGTAACAACCGTTAGAGCTAGTTAAGTCTTTCAATGGAGTAGTGATGCTGCACTAAGATGAGATTGACCATTAGTTCTGATGTTGTCTTCTTTGTGATTGAAATGTGTAAACCATGGCATTCTCTGAAGGTACTTGGTGCAACCTTTTTTGGCCACTAGTTGAGGATAAACATTTATCTAGAACAATATGGGCAAAACAGTCATGAGAGCACTACTTGAGACAAAATGTATTATGGATGTCCCACAGGCTAGACAGAAAGTAGAGAGAGTGGCAGTAGATGGACTTGGCAGGTGATGTGTTCAGAGGGATTATACTTAAAGAAATACTGGTCATTCATAAGAGCTGTGTTAGACTTAGCATGACCAGAATGGACCTTGATGGAGATACACCACCTTTCCAACACACAGCTCCTAGGAGGGTAAACAGTGCTTTAAGAGGCCCTGAAATCATGTGATACGTGCATCAGAATGCAGGCTTCTCCAGCTCCTCATGAACATATTCTTATTAATTTTCTGACCAGTAACAAAATCTCATGTATGTCACCATGCTGCAGTTTTGTTTCCAAAACTTCAAATATTCATATTTTCTTCTTACTGGATGATGTTGTGGTCTGAATGCTACAACTTTCTGAAATTAATATGTGGAAATATTACTCCTAAAAATTATGAAATTTATGAGTGGAGTCTTCTTTCAGAAGATTGGGCTAACAGGAAGAATCCACATGGATCATATAGTTCTTTTACAAAAGAGGCTGAGGGAACTGTCTTGTCCCTTTTACTAGGTGGGGACATTTCCTTAAAGTATCATTTATCAACCAGGAAATGGGCTATCACCACATTGTAAATCTTTTGACACTTCCATAGCTTCCATAACTGTAGGAAATTGGTGCCATATGCTTTCTATAACACAGTTTTCAATGACCTGATACATGGTATTGTATTTTACCAGTTAAGACGGATTAAGAACATGTTCACACTAGAACCCATGTGTCATATTTTGATGAACTCCTAGTCTTGTGGAGGAGACCACAGGAGAAGAACTTCTCATAGGGGTAGACCAGAAATACTTATAGCTAGCTCTCTTATGAAAAAATTGCTTGGCTTATAATGTTTACACATATTCATCATTAAAACCCACTCAGGTTCAGACAGTGACAACTGTATGATGATTCCCCTCTCCTGAGTCAGGATGGACAGTTGTAGTCTGCACATGTTGTCATAGCCCACAGTCCTACTGAGTGTTCTCTTGTCACCAGACCACTTACTTGCTATGCTGCAGAGTTATTTGCATTAAACTCTCCAAATCCAACAGAACCATTCCTCCTTCTGCCCATGACATTGGACCAATGTACAAATAGTAATTTCAAGTTAGAACACTTGTGTGTATTGTATGGAATCCATTTCTTACTGTAATGATTCCTTAATCAGCAGTAGGAGAGTAGAGCATATGCATGTCTATAGTGATAGAAACTGTCACTTGTATAGATTATTCCATACATCAACTTTTGCTCTGTCAATATATTTATGAAGTGAGACTTCATCTCTTAATTCATTTGTCAAGAATAACCCATAACACATAATAAATAAGTGGCATAAAGTCCTGTAATCTTTTGAATGCTTCAATAGAAAATTTTATTCATCTTTTTATCTAAAATTCTGCAGGATCATTGTGTAACCCAAGCATGTTCTAGGTTCTGTCCTTGGGGACAGATTTAGTTGCAGGTATGTGGCCTGTGTGGTTGTTAGAACATGAAGGACAACTGAAAGTGTTTTTTGTTTTAAGCTAGGAAGTTAAGACACTAAGTTTCCATAGATCTGCCCATCATTCACACTACCATAATATCAGAGCCATCAGAAAAAGAAAGAGAAAGAAAGGCCAGGACACCACTTTTATTTCTTGAAGCCACCAGTTTGTCTTGTTGGGATTCCTCCTTACACTTCTCAAGAATTTGAGTGCACTTCCACAGATAGAGAGTCTGGGAAACAGGAAAGAACCTAAAAGATATGCATATATGCATAGTACCCAAGAGAAGAGGATGGAGACAAGATCCTCTGAATGGATGGGGAACACGGCGAGGGGTGGGGGGGAGTGGGACCCGGGAAGAATAGAGGGGGTAAAGAGGAAGGGAGTTGGTCATGGGGGAACAGGAAGTTGAGGGGGTGGGGGTAGAATAGGGGGAAGAGGGAATCATAGGATCAAAGACAGATCAGGCACCAGAGTGACCTCGAGTGATCCAAAGGTATAACATGAATTGGCAAGCTAAGCAATAGTGGAGGGACCACCTCGAATGCCCATTCCTGATAATGAACTTGATGCCTATAACCATCCGGGAGCCTTCATCCTGTGACTGATGGAAGCAGAGGCAAACACACAACTAAGCACTGAACTGAACCCAAGGAACCCAGTGACAGAGAGAGAGGAGTGATGAGCAAATTGGCAAAGAATGGGCTGGCAAAACCAGCAGAGACAGCTGATCTGAACAGGGGAGTGCTCTTGGACCCCAGACCGACAGTGGGGAGGCCAGCATGGGACTGATCTGGACCCCCCAAATGTGAGTGTCAGTGAGAAGGCCTGGGCAACCTATGGGGCCCTGAGCTGTGGATCAGTGTCTATCCCTGGTATACAAACTGTCTTCATGTGCCTATAGCACAAAGAGAGATGCTGTCTCAGCCTGGACTCTTAGGGGAGTGCCTTGACCCTACCAAGAGTAAAATGACAGACTCTAGATATCCCCTATGTGGAAGGATTTGGCAATAGGGTGGGAGGGAGGGGGGGAAGGGGAGTGCCGGAAGAGGGGAGGGAGAGGGAACTGGGATTGACATGTAAAACAAGCTATTTAAAATTAAAATAAAAAATGATAAAAAAATGTAAGGTAAAAAAAAAGAATTTGAGTGGAAATGCTGCTTCAGCCTGAGGTGGTTCCTGAACCTCGAATCCAAGGCTCTAGTTAGTATAAATGGGAAACACAATTAATCCTACTGCAGAGCCTTTCCATGAAATTGTTGGTGACAGCTGTTCTGGGTATAGTGTGGGCATCAGAGTTTCAGTTGGTTCTAAGGCACTACTTTCCTGAGGCTAATTATCAGAAACCAGGGCCACCACATCAGAAGACCTGAAGACTATAGGCTATCAACCAGGAGTTTTAGGTGGACAGACAAAGAGAGTGACTCTAGGCAGTGTCAAGTGTGTGAGTATGTGGTGATTGGCTAGAGGGTTGAAGAGAATGAGAGAGTCACTGTCAAAGTTGTAAGAGTTTGAGAAGGTGATATCTGGGCCACATTAGAATGGAAAATGTTTTCCTCTAATATGTAAAAAGAAAAAGTGTATTTTCTCAATGCCTTACATTGTGTTCCTGGTTGTAGAAAAAGTTCAGGAAACCAAATTTTGAAATGGAAATGAACATAAATTGGGAGCATACCTTTGTCTATTAAAGCTCTATGCAGTGTACATTAATGTATATAATTGACAAGAGATGTGACTGACTTCAACGTTCCACAGTGGATGAACTGATAGAGTATGTGATATACATGTGTGTTTATATTTGCATGTGTACACATGGAACACTGTTCAACCATAAAAACATGGAATTTTCAATACCTGAGATGATCTGTTAGGACACTTACTGTGTAAACAACAGTTGCACAAAGGGAAGGACACCATGTTCTCACATGTACAAGATGAAAATCAAGATAATTTAAAGTGAGAACAGAATACTTGCTATTGGAGAATGGCAAGGTCTGAAGATGCTAAGAGGCTATTGGGACAATGGATACATAATTACATTTAGGTAGGAGCCATGAGTTCTGTGTTCTATTACACAATAACAGGACTGTAATCAATAACGGATTATGCATTTTGAAATACCTAGGACAGTAGAATGTTAGTGTTTCACCATAAAGAAATTATAAATGTCTGAGGTGATATACATGCTAATTCCCCCATTTAATATTTTCACAATGTGTATGTTTACATTTCCAATCCCTTACCATTGTGCACCTTAAATATTCATTATAACAGGCAATTTAAAAAACAATGAACTCTTGCATTTTACAAGAAAATTTCACCTCAAAGTTCAAAAGTGGGAAGGAAGAATTCATGAGACTATTTCATCCTGGGTCAAGAACTTGCAATAGGGAGAGGGTTTGGAAGGAACTTCTGGAGACAAAGGCAAGAGCGGCTTTCAGCTCTGGACTAATACAGAAGACCAGGAGACCGTTAGTGGGGAGGTTTGTCAATGTGATTGTGTCATGTGTTTGCTGATTGACACTTACTGCAGTTATGCTAACTCTACCTGAAAACAGGGGACCTACGTCCTTAGATGAGTACATTTCAAAAGGATGACCCCATGTTTAATTAAACCATTAAATTTATTTTGCTCAGGACACTAGTCAATTACTTAAGTTGAAATATCTTGTGGGACTTTGGTAACTGTATTATATTTGCAATCAACTAATCAGTATTCTGTGATATTTCAGGCTACAAGAGTTGTACTGGCTAGAGTTATACTTTCTCTACTAGTTCAGTTGATACAGCTGATGTCTGTCACTGCCAACACAGATTGTTATAACAGCTACCATGTGAGAATCTTCTAGCATCCTTTCTTCCTCAAAGAGCGATG